GGAAAAGAGGAAGACCTGCCTGAAGAGGAGGAACTTCTCGCACCAAGGAAGCGCCGCTGGCTCGCCGTTCCTCATCCAGTATGTGTAGCGTCTCTCCTGCCCTTTTGTTTTAGATACAAATTGTTCAATAACATCCAACTTACATTATAATGGGGCTCTAGACTCGGAATGCCTCAGAAGAACCTCCAGAAGAATTTATCCCCCCATTAGATGTCATTGAAGATGGATATCGTGAGGATCTCCAATACTTTCCATTCCTCCACTGATTCCTACCGGAATCCCTAGATTCCGGCCGGAATCCTGGAATTCCGGTAGGATTCCTGGAATTCCGCAGGATTCCGGCCGGAATCGACAGGAATCCAACTGGAATCAACAGAAATTGAACACTAGGACTTCTGGTTAATTAATTTTGGACCCTGAATCTCCTTCTTTAGGTCAGACAAATAGAATTGTAGCACTAAATCTTTTACTAAACAAGGGCATAAGGCATCCGACTAGTTACTTACTACTACATGGATTTATTTATTTCAATCAGATTCAGAGACATTAGATTCTGCATGTTGTTCATCCAAACCCAAGTCTATGTGACTTCATGCCTATCATATTTATTGTAAGTCTAATGTAGTCAGCCAATTTATTATTATATCTTGTCCTATAATAACCTCACAAGTGTCTTCTTAGAACAGTTATATAGATTCAAATTCTAATATATTGAAGTGGTACACAAAGATTATTTTACTGTATTCTAAGTTAAAGGAAGGGGGGGAGGAGGGGGGCAGAAATAAATGGGGGTGGAGGAAGGAAGGGATGGGCAGGGAAGGGGGAGGGAAAAGGTAGGGGGAAGGGTGTAGGGACAGGGAAAAGGAAGGGGGAAGGGTGTAGGGACAGGGAAGGGAAGGGGGAAGGGTGATAGGGAAAAGGAAGGGAGTAGGGACAGGGAAATGAGGAGGGACAGAAAGAGAAAGAGGGAGGAGAAAGGAAAGGGGTACATGGAAATGGGGAGGGACAGGGGAAGGGAAAAGGAAAGGAGGAAGGGGGGAGGGAAAGAAAAGGGGGAGGGACAACACTCGTCACCGTGTGTACGTGGTGGAGCGGGACATGCTCGTCGTCATTGACGTGGCCGTCCATTGGCATCGTCGTCGTCGGCCGTTGGCGTTGTCGTCCGTTGGCGTTGTCGTCGTCCGTTGGCTTCGTCGTCGTCGTCTGTTGACGTGGCGGTGGTCGCTCGTCGTCCACTAACGTGCTCGTCGTCTGTTGACGACGACGTCGTCCGTTGGCGTGGGCGTCCGTTGACGCGGTCGTCGCCCATTGACGTGGTGGTGGTGTCGTCGTGGGCGTGTCGTTTGTTGGCGTGGCCCTCCGTTGACGTGGTGAGGCGTGTCGTCGTCTGTGGGCGTGGTGGTCGTGGTTGTGCGTTGACGTGGTTGTCCCTTGTCGTGTGCCTGGTGTTAGCAGGCTGGGTGGGACGAGCTTGGGATGGGGGGTGCTCACCTATGACGACGAACGACGACTTGCGTCGTTCGTCGTCTGGTTACCACGTCGCTGATAGCGACGTGGCAACGTGTTGGCGCGCTCGTTTACTGAGGCTGGTGACGTGGCGTTGGGGCGTCGTTTCCGTGTCGTGGCCGTGGTGTTGTGTTGGGGTCGTGGTGAAACGACGACGGACGTCGTCGTTGTGTGCGTCGTGGTGGCCGTTGGTGACGTGGCGGTGTCGCGAGGTGGGTTGGTGTCGTGGATGATGGTGGTGGTTGAGAGTGGGAGTTGTCTGTTGATGACGGCCAAATCAAGCCTCGGCAAACGCCGACACTCGATTTGGGCCGTCGGAATTCCGTTCATCTCATCCCGGGATCATTCCTTATCGGGTGATCCTGAAGCCATTCTGGCGGAATTTGAATTCCATCAAAATTCCGCCGGAATGGTTTGATCAATTTGGCAGGGCCCTCTGCCAAATTTGATTCCTCCGGAATTCCAGGAATTGCCCGGATTCCGGCAGGAATCAGTGGAGGACAATAAAGACCTCGCAAATTCACTGATATCACGGCAGTGATTGTGCAGGCAGACAGGACAAAGGAGGTTGAGGGGAGGAGAGTTGACGCGATGGCGCCAAGGAACGTTGGTTTTTCTGAAAGTATCGTATTGTGTGGTGTTCAAAGAAACGTAAGGTGAACGAGATGGCCAACCGACAGGAAAAATGGCCTAGCGGTGGTTGACACGATGCGGATTGGTTGGAGGGGTTTATGTAGAGTATATAATAGACAGAATCATCCATGGCTAGTGAGTGGCAATGGCAATGTAACTGATGGAAAATGCCAGGAAACACCAGGTCAAAAACAAAAAGGAGATACGTACATTGGGATAACGTATGCCTATCCCACTATATATTTTTTGAATGAGGAGGATAGCCAAATTTATCAACAATACTCACCGAGCGCAGTGCCCGTGGACGTTCATGTGGATCGTGGCGGTGGGTCCTGGTGGCCAATCGTCGAGGGTCGTGGTTGTGAGAAGAGAGGGGTAGTGACGTGTGACATTGCGTTCGTCATGTCGGAAATTTCCCTGGTGCCTAATCAGGGTTATTAGGCACTCAAGGCACCCGAAATCTAATAATGCATAATAATGTTTCAGTTAGTTTAACATTGTTGGCACTCACCTGATAAGATGAGATTATCAGGCATTGTAAGATTAGGCCTGCCTTTCAAAGTCGGAGCGAAAATATTAAGGAACTATTGAATTGCTTAAGTTACGAACCTATTGAACTTTCTGTGTATTGTAATACGTATTGATTGTTGTAGTGCTATTGAATTTTTTAATGAGTGTTACTAGTGGGATTCGAACTCTGGACCTTACCTTATTATTATATATTTGCGATTTGAGTTGTTCATAGTTACCGCTAAGCCATATGACCGTTCTTAGATATATATTTTAGGTTATTATATCCCCCCATGACTCACTTTCCACAAATGTCGGAAGCGCGCTTCAGTGCGCCTCTCTTCTAGACATGGTTTGAAATGAGAGGCAGAAAATCATGATATATTGAGGCATGGGGGTATACAACGAATGATCTACAACTAAAGATACCCCCAAATGGCGCTCCGCGCATTAATTGTCGATGTCCCAACGGCGAAAACAAGAATGAAATCAACGACGACCTGCCCTCTTGGCACGGGTAGCACACTTCGGAACCTGATTGGCATCAGAATTCCCAGTGAGTGGCGTGGCGTCCAATTCAGAACTAGTCTTGGGGTCGTGTGGCTGTCGTTTATTCACACTGCGCCGCATTGGTCTGATGGGCTTGGGTTCAATGGTAGGCACAACTGCGCCATCAACGTGTGTGGCGTCAGTGATAGGAATGACAGGCTCAGTTGCCTGGGAGTCAAACACTGTCGCGCCACCGCTAGAAAAGGAATGAGAGTTTGAAATGGATGGAGTGGCAAGAGGTGCGCTCTCTGGTGGTGATGGTCCTAAGATCTGGCTTTGGGCAGTGCTGATAGGAACAGGCATGATGACTGGCGCAGGCAGCGCATGCGAGGCGCTTTCCTGGACGTGAAGATCACGAAGGAACTGTGTAAGTTCTTCATCGTCGTCGATGCCGTTGATCTCCTCCTCAGAATCCGGAGCTAGAAGGATGTTGGGGAAAATTCTTGAATCCCAAATTTGATAGAGCTCAATAATGGCTGATGAAGAGTCTCGCGAGATGAGGAGAAGCTTTTTGTAAGTGTCGAAGTCGGCAAAATAGGTAATGCCGGTGATATTACCAACCCCGGTTCCTGTGAATTCCATGTCTGGCGACAAAATAAAATGTGCCTAGATGTACATTTGATCAATCCAAAGCCTTCAAAGGACAAAAAACAGAAGTGACGCACCAAAATTGCCACACAACAAATCAGTCCGGCTGTTGTCCCAGACTTACGAGAGGCATAAGGGCTGTTTGACCGAAATACCGGAAGTGCGCTACCAAGCGCTACAGTTGGACCATAAATGATCAAGAGAGCTAACTAATTACCAGAAACATTGAGGGCAAATGCTCTAAATAAAAAATATGAGCGTACCCTGAGTAAGTACTCGCTTCGAAACAAATACATTGGATTGGCGACGCTTCCATCCTGAAAGAAGAACGGTGGTAATTTGGGGTACCGTGCACCAACCGTCGTGCCACCTGCATTGTATCCGAGCAAATTCTTGATGGTAGGATTGCTTGTGCGATCAAATTTTCGTGCGAGAATTTCTGCGGAAAGACCAAAGACTGATGCAGCATTCTTCCGCAAGCGATCAATCATGCTGGAGCGGCTGGATGAAAGCTCTTTCATGAACTACAAAAAGTGTAAAAAGATATTTTGATTTGACGGCATGAACTGACCTTAGCGACAAAGTCACTGTGACTTTGCATGTAGTCATAGAGGCGCTCAGGAACGCACTCATACAACTCCCTGCTAGCGCCTAATGCGATGTTGTCCTCAGTTGAGTATCGTTCGCTGCTGTTGAAGTCAAACGAAGGCTTTGGTCGGTGAAAGTCGTCGGCGTGAACCCATGGTTGATGGAAGAGTACATAGATCTGGGCAAGCTTGGCGATCTCTTGATCCGCTGTCAAGAGTTCTTCCGATACGTCCGATTTGGATCCTTTAGGGCTCTTCTTGACCTTTGCGTCTGCAAGCTCCAGTTTGAGCGTGTCGATGATGTGGTTTGCATTGTCAAGTTCTTTGTACGCGCTTTGCAGAGCCTATTTAAATTAGTTGTACAATCTTCAATTTCAGTATTAAAATAATGAATAGACCAATGGTCGCAAACCTCCTCGAGTTCTCTGATGCTCATGTTGTGTATTCCGCATTCACTTTCAAATCGCGAAGTGGAAATAGAGGACATTCCAGAGGGGGTAGCACTCGCAGAAGGCATTGTTTGCAATAGGGAGACTTGAGGAGATGGACTCGAGGGATCTGCGATGAAAATTCATCATGCCTGCATGGTTTTTATTGAGAAAATTTCTACAGGGTGTGCACAGCCCAGCACACAATGAATTCAAAATGTCGGGCCCGCATGCCGGAGATCGATTCTCGACATTGAGTAATTGGCCTCAGGGAACCTGAACCTCAAGTACTTTTATTAATGAATGCAATTTGTAACGCACAACTTCAATTCATGTTTTTCATTTGCGCCCAAGAAGATTCTGAACAAGTGAGGTAGTGAGATGGGCATCTCAGGCTCATCCGTTTCACAAGAAGAGCATGGCTGCATCCTGTTCTGCCTTGCAACTCTCAATTGCTCCGTAGCTTGCTTTTGTCCTATCCGAGTTGCTCGAGAACTCAATGCCTTGACTTGTAACATTATTTACTGTTATAACACTGATAAACTACTATTTCTATGTTTCACTTAGACTCTTTCTGGAGCAGACATAATCTCTAACTTCTAAATTACCTTTGTTTGTTTGTATGTATTTTTTCTGTGATAATGATCCGGCTCATTGACAACTCCAGCCTCACATTTCAGACAGCGGGAATGTTGTAGAATGGTGAGATGATTACATATTGAGTCCATCAAGTTTAAGGCATGAGATTATTGAAAGGGCAAAGTTCCGTGTAACTTAAGGACAATGACATCATCTTACTTTGATGATTGTATTCTATGATGTCATCATGGTCAAGCACCCCGTATTTCTGGGGAATTTTGAACGTTGTTGCATCATATGTCTCACTTGTAAAAACATTGCTAATATCTTTGTAGCTGCTATTGATAGTAATTTACTGTTATAGTACTGTTAGTTAGTTTGTCTTTAAGTAGCTACTCTGTAAGTGAATGAGTCTGTAGTACAGATGTTTGGTTCAGCTCTTGAATCTGTTTTTAGGACAATTTCTATCTATATCACGTTCTTTGGTCTAAGCTTGAAATGCGAAGCGCATTTTGAGCACACTGGTAGGTGTGAAGTTTAGGTTTGTTTGTTTGCCTGGACCATGTTTACCCAAATATTAGCATGCTTCAACAAAGGCCCCAGAGATTCACGTCAGAGCTCTATGACACCGTTTCCACTGATCCTTTCCTGTCACAAAACTGTCATTAGACAGGTCACTACAATCATTCCACACAACTGCCTCCAGAACTGGAAACTATGGTAAAACGGGTCCAAGCGTCAGGGATTATGAATTATCATCTACAGATCAGCACGATGTGTAAGTGTCAATGACTTCACCCGAAGCCACATATCCTGATCTGCAACATCTATGACAAGAAACTCATCCTTATATTCACAGCCATAATCATTGGCCAGAAGAGCCCCACGGACAATTGACTCCACAGAAATAAAGCAGCTTGAAATCCTTGGTCGTGATCGAAGTTGTGTAAAGTGAAGTTCCTGATCACGTCCACGATTGACGAGAGATGGTGGCAGATCCAGGGGAAGAATTAACGCCATAAAGTACTTGGTTGACTTGATTACACAACTGAATATGCACAATAGTCTTGCAAAGATGTGCTTGCTGTCATCAATTTTGACAATAACACAATCATAGTGCTCCTTGTTGTGAAAATTGGGATTGACCCTGAGCAAATCTGTCTCAAGAAACCAATCAACTGTTGATTCATGATTGGCTCGAAGATATTTGTAGGGAGTGATCTCAGAAAAAGAGCATTACTTTTCAAATTCATGAAATATTGAGTGTAACTTACCTTTTCGTCATCCCGAAGTCGTATCTGTTGACCAAAAAACCTTGAAAAAAACTTGGCTAGCTTCTTGCGAAAATCTCGAAATGCTGCATCCTGAATTCCCTGCTGCTCCATCTCCTTAAGCGTAATCTCAGGATTTGGAGAACCAAGAGATATATGTTGGCTGCCAAACAAGTTTATCTTCTCACTTTCTTCCTGTTCCAGGGCATTCTGGGCTTCATCGAGAGCTTCAAGTTTAGCATGTATGATTGTTGCAACTAAATGTGATTCATTAACTTGAAGAATCTTAAAAAGGCATCAGTAAGTTACTTTTATAAATCTTGTGAGTATCCTACCTGAGATTCAACATTTTTAAAGTTAGTGTGAAATTTGTAGGCAGATTTCAGTGCACCATGGGATTTCTCGCTTGGCTTTGTATTGTAATTTCTTGTCACTCCCTTGTTTTGAATGTCATCAAAAACATGCTGATGGCTATGAGCTTTGGGAAAGTTCCATGATTTTTCAGTATTCATTGCCATATATTCCTTGTAAAACTGTAAGGTTTGATATCCTATCAAAAGAGATTTTACTCACATGTAGCAATTTCTCGAAGACAAGTAGTTCAGCCCGACCTGCTGCAATGGTGGATTCAGTGTGCACTGTCAATGATACATACATGTCCAGCTCTAAATAACTCCGGATTAGTTTAAGGAGATGAAATCCTTCCTTTGAAACATTCTTGGAGAGAATGTTGTGGGCTGCAAAGACAATAATCTGATATATAATGACTACCTTCCATTTGATAAAAGAGGAGTGACACTACTCACCTTTGATATATCCTCATACTTTGATCCATCAGCAAATTCTGTTTTCATAATGCCACTAAAATGATTGAGGCCACTCCAAGAAGGGATTTCAGAAATCCTAAAGAAAAAGCCAAAAGTTATAGCAAAGTTGAAACTTGATGCATAGGATGTTAACATACTGAGTATCAAGCAATTTGGCAGACTCCTTTCCAAGCTCATTGATATGTCCTTTTACTTCTGGCAGCAAGTGGTCTGAGAAAAGACCGCCATGATAAGCATGAAGGCGATCAAATGAAAGAGCTCTATGTATATCTGAACCATGGAAAGTCCAGAAAACATTCTATTACAAAAAACTTCAGTGAAGAATCAGATTTTATAGAAAATTCTTGCCTCAACATCACGGAGGCCAAACTCTTTGAGAAGCTCATCTTTTGGACCAGATAAAAGTTTCTGTGCAGCTCTATATATTTCTTCCATCTTTTCTGCTCTCCTTTCTGGGTATATCTTTGATATATTGGCTTGCTCAGTAGCAGGAACAAGGCAAATTGGACATGGGAAGTTGCTTCCAATCCCTCGAATTGAGGAAAACATGCACCTGAAAGATACATTAGTCTATATATGTCAAATAATATTAGAAGATCATACTGTTCCTCATAGTCAGCAGATGCAATCAAGATGAACCAAAATATGTGTCGATCAATGCTGTCTGCACAATTGGTAAATGTATAGCCTGTTTTGAGGTATTGTTGGATGGATTCCAGAATGTGGAAAAATGCCTTGTGCCAAACAACTCGTTTGAAATTGATGTATCCTTTTTTCCCTGCTTCTCCAGAATCTTCATCTATCTGTAATTGTTGAGAGTTAGTTCTTGTAATTCAATGAACTAAACAGAGTATGAGCTTACCACTGGAAGCAATCCAAATACTCTTCCACCTGCAACACCTGTTCCATTTCTGATTCCAACATCCAAGTTGGCTGGCTGACCAATCACTGGATAGCCCTTGACTGAACCAAAGGATGATAGGCGTGTCTTATCTGCATAAATAATCATGCAAAAAGGAAGTGCACCAGGTGGAAGGGTTGACTAAAGGCATTTTTTGTAGTCAGGTTATTGACAATAGTAATAACCAAAAGATCCTACTTGAATTCTCCACCAGGCATCAGCTGTCCATGGTTCATCTATAAAACGTTCAAATTTGGAGCCATCATACTTGTAGTGATGCTCAGCATGCCAATGAAACTGTGAAATAAGGCCAGGGTCGGCAAGCAGTTGCCGCGTCCACTCAAACAATGAATATGTCCAAACATCATGAGAGATTTCATCTCCTTTGTATGGGACAGAGATAGTGGTTTTTTTAAACTGCAAATCAGGGGGTTAGAAGTCGTAAGTAATTAAATAACATAATTTGAAAGAACAAAAATCCATACTCCTGAAGTGCGGGCCATCCGAGCATTCTCCCATACATTTTCTAAATCTGTACTGTTCTCAAGTGTGAATTCAGATGGGGTTTTGATGCATTGGTGAATAAGTGAGAGAAGTCGGTTGGTCTGAGACTTGTTCATATGTGTATCCAGCATTACTTCTGCAATTTCGAAATCCAGGCGTGACCGAAAGGGTTTCCATGGTTCTGAATCAATTGGGCTGTTGACAGAAGTTTTGCTGGATGTCGTGTATTCCTCAAAACGGAATATCTGAGCAGGCTTTCCACTATTTGGATGAAACTCGACCTTGATATCATCCAGATGGAGGTCGTGACATGTGTCATTCTCACCCGTATTGTCAAAATCTGCGAAAGCAGCCATCTTAGAATTATTTCAATTTTATCATTATTGTAAGCATACCAATAAAATGAGAATTATCCTCCTCATCTGACTGTAGTGGTGCTTGACCTTGTTGTTGCATGGGGCTAACTGTGGGTAACACTGGAGTTAAAATCAGTGACTGCATTCTTTCACAGTCAAGTTTGTCTCATCACCTATATTTTGGGAGCCACTTGCAGTATTTATGACTGCCCCCGGAACAAATGAAGCTATTCCAATGAACAGATCAGTGAAAGGCTTCCAAAGAAATTCTGCTAAACCCACGCAACAGCCCTTGTTGTCGGACACGATCTTCAAATGCCTTATCAGCGGCATCAGTCTCACACGGTTTCAATCGACATGAGCATTCATGGCTTGCGAGACCTCTGGAAGCAAATTCCTTGCTGCAATACTGACAAGGAACCTTGGCGGCATCAGTCCTCGTACTCACTTTGGCTTTGGGAGCCATATCGCACAGTTACGGAGGGTGGTAGTAGACGTGGAACCCACAATCTTATCACGCTGATCACTGCTGGAGTATCTATTTATATCAAGGCTCACCTCATCAGGTCAGTTAAGGGTTGTTACAGGATCGGTTCGTTCTGCCAAGCCCTGATGATGCCGGTGACCTACATTACAAGCCGGCTGCCTGATAAGGCGCCTGGGAAATTTCCGACACACCTCACCAATTGGGATGTGTCCAACTGAGTTGCTCATCCTCTCATCCTCGACACAGTGTCGAGGATGAGCCTTATCCCCTTTCGGGGAGTGTGCCGCCGTACGTATATCCTCTCCAACACGTGTTGGCTCGTTGCAACAACTCCGCTCGCCGTTTCCGAAACCGCTTGCACAAGCGGCCGAATTATTCATCCTGAGGTGGCCGAAACTCGAGCTGACAACAGGAAATTTTTGACAAGTTGTATGCTTGAACTTCCGCTACTCAAGTTTTCGGATCCAAGTTCGTTCATTTCTCCCGACTCCTTACGGGGAACTCGCTGTATCTTCGGAGTACACATCTTATGAGTATAGTGAGTGGGGCCCCATCGATCTCTTGCCTTTTCTAACAATATCCTAGGACGATAGACGCAAGATTAGCTGCTCACTGGACGGACGGAAGCCCTCGACCGCGTACTATGGTAAACGTCATTCTCCTTATCCCCGTGTTCGTTCCGTCTGAAAGGTGCTCGGGCAAAGAGTCATCGTTTCTCCCCATGGGTATGTTATATCTATGATTTGCTGACTCGTGTCAAACGTTTTCGGCCAAGGGCAATCGACAACAAATCGACAATCAACTTGTAAAATCAACCCCATTATCACCTCCCGAATGTACTATTGAAGTTGGAGGTAAAGCTAACGAATCTTTCCCCCGCCCCCAACATACATTCTCAATTTTGATACCTAGCGATTCTCAATTTCGTTACTTACTAAGCGGTATGTCTTTTATGTGTTACGTTACGCCCCACTGCCCAGGCCTCAACACTCATGCAGCGTCTCACTGCAAATACACATGGCCTCCGCAGTAAGCCGTAGCAGGGGAAGTGAACAGCCTCAGCTCCTTTGCTCATACTCATCGATTCTTGTTTTCTTCCCAGTGTTACATTACATATGGCTCAGTCTGCAGCCTCGCCACCGAATAGCTCCACTTATGTAGGCGCTCGTGGCGCTTCTGCACGACGTCAAGTCGGACGCTGGGCGCCGGTCCTGGGTTCATACAAATTCTTCCCGTTAGGTTCCACGTATGGTATGACTCCGACTTGCTTACCTCTGGGAAACGTGAACGTGTCTTCTTGTTCTCTTTCAAGTTATGGTCTGTGACCATCTTTGTCCGTCGCGTCACAGTAAGGATTTCAGAGAGTGTCTTGAGGCCGCTTCGCTCGAATACTCTTTTTCAGCTCTCAGGATTGTCATGTGCTGGCGAACGACTTGTATAGGAATGATTGACATCGTACGTTCATGCTGGCAATTGTTTGTTCTTTGCTAGTGTATTTATACCGTCAGCAGCTTGAATCCTTCGCTGGCACGAATAAGCACTTGAGTATATCGTCCGATTCGCCTTGCAAGTGCTGTATTTTCTGTGAATAAAATTAAACTGGCTTTACAACTCACAGATTTACCTCCCATAAGGTTTATCTGGGCGGAACAAAGTGCGGTGTTGCGTATCTTATCCATAACGATGATGTCCTATCCTCTTTCTAACCAGCCGTCCGCAGGATGCGACGTAAGTCGCGTCTTTCGCCCTACCCGCCCTACGGCTACCAACTTGTTCCATACTGCCCACAGTAGGCATCCACCCCGGGATGTATGACGGACAAGCGATGAATCAGCCTCCTACAGCTGTCCTAACTCCGAGTTTGGCTTGGAGGGCGCTCCTCCTACGACTTGAACGCAAGCAAAACGCAGGTACCATCACACGTTTGCAAAGTCAAATACTTCTCCTAGTATTGCTTTTACACCACTTCCACCTCGAGAGCCAGCCCCGTATACACCGCAGTATCTAGACTAAGCACAGCCTCGTCGACGGTTGATCCGAGTCGCTGGGTGTTCAACTAACGAAGGAAATAAAGTGCTGTTCTTGCGGTGAAGTCTACCATGTTGGAGCACATCATTGAAATGACGAATTTGTAAGGATATATGGTCTTGAAGCTATACTACGTACAGCATTTTGCGTTGCCGTTTGCACAACGACATCGTTGGAATCGTGTTGGCAGTGTGACCTAGAGATTTGCTAGAGATGCCATCCCAGCCAGTGGACATTCCGGAACAGAATACACAGTTACAAACACAAGTTGAGAAACCCGGCAATGCAAGACTGTAAGGCTGATAGGATGCATGGTCCTTGATGGAGGGAGAGCTCTACGTTGAGGAGAGCATCTATTTTTAGCTTGGGGTGATCATGCAAACCTTTTTGGTGAGTCACGAGGGCTTTTGCGTCCCTTGATGGCGTGCTAGGCCGCTGGTGTTGTGAAATTCACAGCCAGTATTGACAGACGCCCATAATCCAACAATACCTTGATCGTTCCTACCGTGTATCCTGTCAACATGTCACCCGCTAATCACATGCACCTACCACGAGGTAGCCTGGAGGCTTCATAAGCTCGAGCAACGTCCAGTGAGCACTCTCCTTACCCCCCTCCATTCCATCACAGTCACCCACTTCCCTTTCCTCCATGGCAGACGATCCTATACCCTCTGTTAAAGGTGAGAAATGTAAGGACTATCTCGTCCGCATCTGCCCTTTGATGAACAAACCTGATTTTTCTTTCATAAGCGCCTGCGGGTACCTCGGACACAGAAATCAGACCATGTGGGCATAAGATCGGTGGTAGAAACCTCATCGTTTGCATCGACGGTACCGCAAATCAGTTCGGAGAGAGGGTATGCATTTGCGATGCTGTCCAGCGGCAGTTGCTGACACTCTTAAAAGAACACAAATGTTATCGAATTGTACAATCGCATCTTAAAGGAGAGCGGGAACCAGAAAACTTGGTACAACAGTGGTATCGGGACGTACGTCAGGCCATCTTGGAAATCTTTCAAATTCTACCGACAGGTCCTCTCTCATACGATCGATTCGGCGATTGCATGGTGCGCTGAGTGGTCACCTCATATGTCTTGCTTTTCTTTTACCTCTTTCCTCGTTCAGGAATTTTAAACGAACAGTTTTGGGTGCATATCGTTGGTTGTCGGACAATTATGAGCATGGGGATTGTATATTTCTTTTCGGTGCGTTAGAAAAATATGTGACTTGTATGTCCATGGATGCTGAGGGCTCTATAGGGTTTTCTCGTGGCGCATTCGAAGTCCGTGTCCTCTCGGCAATGATCGACAAGGTGTGCTACGTTCTGAGAGCATTGACGGCCCCAAATGACATCTTCGGATAAATCTAGGTCGGGCTGATCCAAAGGGGGAGTGAGATGCAGATCCCATTGTACGTTTAAAACATCGCATACCTTATTATGCGCTGATCAATATCAACATTCAGTGCATACGAGCTATATATAGACCCAAAAAGTGATGAACCATCAACTTCAGTGACGGTTGGATCGCTGCAGACGACACACACGAGCAGCGCCGAGCGTTTCAAGCAGACCTTCTCATACAAAGATGTACGAGTGCATTTCCTTGGCGCCTGGTATGTAATGCGTACTCTGCCTTTATGGAACCGTACGCTTACGATAGGATTTTAAGGGATACTGTCTCGTCCATCGGGATCGCACGCCGGAAGATGATGCTCCCTCGGATAGTCGACGGGATGAAACATGTCTGCTTCTTCCGCCATGCACTGGCGCTCGACGAGCGACGGGTCACGTTCTTGCCCGAGTACGCTTATGGAGGTTCAGCCACCTGTGCAAACCCAGACGACAAGAATCCTTCAAGTGTTAACCATGGATCCTCGGACAACGGCAATAAACCATCTACGATAAATGAAGGGGAAGCCACCAAAGATATATCCACAAGCGATGACGTTGACCGCTCGCAGGGTATGAACAAGGTGACGGCAAAGCATCCACAAACCCTGGAAGTCTGGTTTGCGGGCACTCACTCGGATATGTAAGTACATTCACCTGTCCACCTGATGGTTTGAATTAGTCATGTCTTTACATTTAGAGGAGGCGGGAATGTGCAGAACTCCGGGATGGATCTTAGTAGACCTCCTCTGAGGTGGATGGTGTTGCAAGCGGGGGAGCTCGGTCTTCGCACAGAACCATTCGAGCGTGAGCTCTCTCCTCACGAGCAGATCAATGTCATCGAATCTTTGACGGGGTTCTGGTGGCCGCTTGAGTTTCTTTTCTTGAAAAGATTGACATACACGGGGCGAAACGATGGAAAAAAGACGACTTATAAGCAAATATTCTCCAACTACAAGGCAATACCTCAACTAACTATTTTTTAAGGCCTCATCTCGGGTCAGGCCGCACAATACATGCTACTCAGAAGATACATGGCTCTCTCTTGCTGGCCGGTAAATTGAAGAGCGACTACACTCCAAAAGCACGGCCTTTTGATGACGAGCCATTCTTCTGGGACGTAGCTCGTGAGAAGGGGCTCGGCGATTGGCTGGAATTGGACTTGTACAACGCTGTCCGCACCGATGTGGAGGTGTTCATCATCGCCCATGATCTTACTGTGTGGGACAATTTGCGCAAAACTGTAACACGGGGTAAACTTGCTCAGTACTTCAGAATTTTCCGTAGCTCACATGTGGCCACATTTAGTGAATGGACGACAAGCACTGTACGATCAAGTCATTGACAGCCTGAAACCTGCTCTCAAGCTCACGCCTGAGATCATGTTTGGACTCCTGCGCAACACGGTGGACATCCTGGGGCGTCATCGAGCCAATTTAAAACTAAGTCCGTCGATTGAAATCCGTCCTCTCATAGCAGACCTTCGACATAGTAACGAAACCCGCTACCAGGAGACAGCACAGCAGTTTATGGAGCAGTTTACGGATCGTGAGTGAAATCCACCATTCTTCTCTTTTGAAGCAATGAAACCATTGCTCTTCAGCTTCTATCTTCGTGTTGAGTGGACACACAAATTCGACCACATCTGTCACATTTTCGCCTGACGGCAGGCGCGTAGTCTCGGGGTCGGATGACGAGACGATTCGGATCTGGGATGCGGAGACGGGAAAGCTGGTGGGAGAGCCATTCCAAGGACACACATATTATATTACATCTGTCGCATTCTCGCCTGACGGCAGGCGCGTACTCTCGGGCTCGTGCGACAAGACAATTCGGGTCTGGGATGCGGAAACGGGGAAGCCAGTGGGAGAGTCATTACAGGGACACACAGATATGATCACATCTGTTGCATTCTCGCCTGACGGCAGGCACGTAGTATCCGGGTCGTGCGACAAGACAATTCGGATCTGGGATCTGGATCTGGGGGAGCCAGTGGGAGAGCCATTGCGAGGACACACAAATATGGTCAACTCTGTCGCATTCTCGCCTGACGGCGGGCGCGTAGTCTCGGGGTCAGACGACGAGACAATTTGGATCTGGGATGTGAGGACACGGATGCCAGTGGGAGAGCCATTCCGAGGACACAATATTGTCTTTTCTGTTGCATTCTCGCCTGACGGCAGGCACGTACTCTCGGGCTCGTTGGACAAGACAATTCGGATCTGGGATGCAGCGACAGGGAAGCCAGTGGGAGACGTATTCCAAGGGCACACAAATGGGGTCAGGTCTGTAGCATTCTCGCCTGACGGCAGGCACGTAGTCTCGGGGTCGGACGACGAGACAATTCGGATCTGGGATGCAGAGACGGGGAAGCCAGTGGGAGAGCCATTCGAAGGACACACAGGTCTGATCACGTCTGTTGCAATCTCCCCTGACGGCAGGCGCGTACTCTCGGGCTCGGTGGACAAGACAATTCGGATCTGGGATGCAGAGACACAGATGTCAGTGGGAGAGCTATTGTTGAATGTAACTAGTAGTTAGCACTTACGTTGAGCAAGAAAGTAAAGGTCTGTTTGGTAACGAGAATGCGAGCGCATTCTCATTGGGGAGCTTGTTCCCCTTTGTACTGCTAACCGACTCCGAAATGTAGATGATGACCTAATCCACAAGTAGTTGGTTGTGTTGAGAACGAGTCTGAAATGAATATTCCGACTCACCAACTCACGCGCCGGACTCCGACTCTCCGGCACTTCATAAAAAGACACTCATTCCGTGCCCCGTATACTGTAGAACATATCCAGGGTTCCCTCTATACTTTAATCATGGAATTAATGCAAAAAAGGCAAAGACAGGCAGTGCCTGGGCCGGTTTGAGCTTCTAAGAATCTGTGCCCGATGTCTTGAAAATATTAGAGTAACGATGCAAGAATTCTTAAAACTTGTGAAGCAGCAAGGGCCGGAGTAGTCTCTCGTAGACAGACTTCGATATTATGTGAAGTCGTGATTCACGATAATATTAGTCTCTCCTAGACAGACTTCGATATATGTGAAGTCGTACCTTGGTTCACGATATATGAAGTCTGTTATTTACCAAGCCCCCAAAACCGCGTTAGAAAATGTTTATGTAATCTTCGGACTTTGAAACCGCGTCGCGTCAATATTGCCTCCTTGCCGTTTGCTCTTGACGTGATATCTCATGCATTTCTATTCCAATACACCTTAAACTTGATGTTATACTTCTTTACTTTTGGTGAATTCATTTGCCAAATTGAACGACGCTCAGATAACCATGCCTTTTGACCATGCTCATCACTTTCCGGCTCGCATCTGTCTCCAACACTCGACACATTCCTTATCATGGTCCAAATTCATTTCCGATCGAATCTCGGCTGCGTTCTTCACGACTCATGGGCTTACTACTCGAGTCATATATCAGCACTCTTTGATTTCATCATTCAAACCTATACGTTGATCACAGTGCAACAAAATACCTCATGAGAACCACTCTAGTAGCCAAGCAACGCGAAAAACGGCAGGCCACAAGAGCTGTAAACGACGACGACATGGCCCAATCTTATTTGATCCGGTCGCTGAACCTTTTGAAGAAACGGTTAACGAACCTCGAACAACAAGTGCCAGGCTCAAAGATATGACGAATGCTGCAAAGCAGCAACGACGAGCTCCTAGATCTGCTCAGCTCAGTGTTGTGCAAGTCCTTCAAGACTATGGTCCATGGTCCTGGGACCTGTACCCGCCGAATGCGCTTGTAGAAGGATCGTCTGAAGGTGGTAGTGGAAAGAGAATGGAGGTCTGACGAGGTAGAGGATGAAAGATGACAGTAGACATTTAGGAGAAGATTTTACAGGCAGCAAAGCTCTGGAATTTGACGAACTGAGTGGAGATGCTATGGGAAGGCTGAGAGGAAGTCTAGTGCTGCAGGAGCTTGGATTGTAGGTGTTTTCTTGGGTGATCGGACGCTTCGAACATTTTTATTGATATAAGGAAACAATTCAATGGGATATGAATTCCATTTGCAAGGCTAGGAGGAGTTTTGGGGCTATAAACACGTCAAAGGGCCCAGAGGGACGAGGGAATATTGACGCGACGCGGTTTCAAAGTCCGAAGATTACATAAACATTTTCTAACGCAGTTTTGGGGGCGCAGTAAAAACAGGACTACGATAATATGAAGTCTGTTTGTTACCACGCCCCCAAAACCGCGCTGCGAAATCTTTATGTAATCTGCGGACTTTGAAACTGCATCGCGTCAATATTGCGTCCTTGCTTGGTCCTTGCCATTTGCTCTCAATGATAGCCCATGCATTTACAATCCAATACAAGTTACAGCTGAATGCAGAACGATAGGCCATGCCTGATCAACACATATATAGAGCAGACTCTCAAATGTTACTGTGATACTATGATGACATCAATTCCGAGTTGGACGTTAAAATTTCACTCATTGTGAGAACTCAGCAGCCTCAGCCATCACTTCGCTTTGAAAATTTGACAGTCTGCCCTGTGCATGTGTCGATCTGGCATGGCCTATCATTCTGCTTTCAGCTGTAAACTTCATATTCTACATCTTGAATGATCCTGAATCCGTTATGACGACTCAATGATGGCTCGATAACCCCACTGGCAGGACTGAAGGACTTGATCAATCAATACCATTGACAATTGTCAAGAAACTCATACCAAATTGGATGGATGGACTGCACTTCAGCTCATTTCCACTATTCTGCGTGGAAAGGACTTGCTTTGCTGTACCACAACTGGAGATGGGAAGTCGCTGGCATTCTCAATACCAACTTTTGTGCTACTGGAATACAACAAACACCCAGATGCATATATGCCTTGCCTTCCAACTCAGAAGAGACCAATCAGAGTGGTAGTCACACCAACCAAGGGACTTGCACATAACATAGTACACTCATTTGCCATTTTTTGTTGTTACACTCATGAATTTCAGACTAGGTTCACGAGCTTTCAAAATTCAACATCTCCAGATTCTCATACTGCAAAGAAACCCTGTGGGATGTAGTGTTTGGAAGTCCGGTCTCGTGACTGGAGTGACTTTGCATGGCCTTTGTTTAAGCGCCCAAGGTCCTCGATGTCAAAGCGTGTTTAAGCGTGTTTAAACTGAGTCCGCTTAATCATCATGTGATGAATTTGGCTGTGGTTGCTTTCCCTTTACTTAAACAATCTGCGTTTAAATGCTCTTCACTTAGCGATCTACGTTTAAAAGCTCTTCATTTAGATACAATTGAATTACCCCACTTAAACATGTTGATGATATTTTACATTCAAGCAGTGTTTAAACAATCCTTCAACATTGTAATATCTTTCAGTTCACTGGTGGATTGCAGTAGTAGTTGTTGCATTTAAACAGGCAATTAATCAGATGCTCACCTTCAATCCATTCCAATCAATCATGAGGTTTGGCCTCTGCCAGCGTACATGTTCACTAAAAGTCTCGTTTGCTGAGGGCCATTGACCGCCACCTTTTGAGAAGCATTTTCGAGTGTCGGTTGCCATTCTCTGGTACATATCTGCCTTCTGTGGTGCATAAGCTCTAAATCCTGAAGGTGGTTTCTCACCAAACACATATTTCTTCGACACAACTTGGGATTTTGAGAGTTCGGTCCAAACTGTTTCCATCCTCTCACAACCGCGAACAAAGCGACGGAATTCTTCTTTGATGATCTCAACTTCCTCAATCCAGTGCTCCATGTCAGTGCGTGCTTGACACCATTGGACTTTCTCAGCTATATGTCCAAATTTAACCTGTGCTGGTGACCGAGTTTGTAAGTGCAAACTTACTTTCCATAATGAACGATGCCTTTTCATCTTTTCCCATTCCTCTTAGTTTCCCAAAGGTCCATATCCAGCTGTCAGTTTTGGATCCCTCACCAAGCCCTCTTGCTCCTGCAGCATTCTTCGCAAACATGTCCTGATCCAACAGTGGGGGGAAATCGTCCAGGAGAGTTTTCCCAGCAAGGTGAAGAATTTTGTTGCGTGAATGACGATAGTGGGAAGCCCATGCGGCTTTTCGATCTTTCACGTTATTCATGTAAGTGAGCGCCCTCATGTTCTGGTACACTCCGCGAGAATGTTGGCTCTTGTTCTCCAGTAAGACCATGCCATGAATGATTGCCTGACATAGTGAAGTGACAGCATCATTGGCTTCGCCCTCACGCAGCTGGTACTCAACCTCAGCCACTGTAGTGAGCCCTAACGAACCATGTTCCTCAGGAAGAAAATCTGATGGAAGGTAAAGGGGTTCTTCCTCTGCTTCCACATGAACGTCGGTTGCTTCAATGTGATTCTCAATGGCTGGAGTTGCACGTAATTGGGTCTTCCTCCAGGAATGTATCTCCCGTGCAAGAGCATGTTGTTGTTGTTGGAGCGTATCAGATGGTATATCATTTTTCTTAATAGAAAGCTTGAGTTCATTTCTAATAAAAGTGAGTCGACATAATAAGACATTTACTAGGCGAACGTACTGCTTGATTTGAATTTTCATCCCACTATGAATGACCTGTGCAAGCGGTGTTGCACATCCTAATGTGTCTGTTTTTGCTTGAGCCTTCTCAGACATCTCCAATGACTGGAATATTTCAGCTTGAGTAGGAACTAAATATGATAAAATGGGTGCGGTGCCATGAGCGGACCAGAATTCTAGATAACTCACGATTTTTTCTCTTCAGACGATATACACTCTGCCACTCCCCATCTTTAAACATGGTGAAACTCCTCCAACCGAAGATGCGGACTTGAAGGATTGGGTTCATGCTTGTCGTCACAAGTTTGAAGTTCAATTTAAAGTGGGTCTTGATGCTGCCATAGCTGAGGGGTTGACAACTGCAAAGAAGATTCGAGAGGTATGTCATGTCCATTGACCTTTACCTTTGCTATTTGTGTGCTAATTCCACTTAAGAAATTCGATGCGAAGTTCTGGAATGAGAAAGCCAAGTGCTGGGTCAAATTATGAAAGGACATTCCAATAACCACACTCTCCACCAAATCCCAACCCCTGCCCTGATCTTTCATCACTGCCACCTCCCAACCGCTAGCCTTGGATGCGACCTCCAACACAACGACTCTTCTGTGGAGTACCATCCTCAAGGAAGCCCAAATTACGGGAAGGTCACTCTTTGAAGAAGATCAACGCACCACAGTCAACGCAGAAGTTAATGCTGCCCGCAAGGACACATTGGTCAACCACAAGCAGCACGTGGGGCTTTTGAGGTCAAGGTTGAAAGCAGAGTGGGAGGAGTTAGGAGATCGTCAAAAGGAGTGGGGAGAGAAAGCGAAGATGATGAAATCCGCCGAACAAGACGGGCTTCTCTATCGGTGCGCAGTGCTCTGCCTTTCGCTTCTTTTTGTTACTTATGTTCCCTATCCAGCAACCAAGCTGCTGCTTTAGATTCTGTTCATGACCTCCTATGATCTTTGATCGGTCCGATCAGTGATGCCAACTATAAGATTGGTAATGCTCATTTCCATGTCCTGTACGCCTATTGAAATGACCGAGAGGTCTTGAAGACGGGAAGGCAAGTTTCCATTCATTCAAGTTTTAGAAGGTTTCTTACATTAGATACAGCATTGATGTTACAGATGAAGGGCTCGCTCAGATCCCATTCAAAGCTTTCAATGAGGAGTATGCCAAGGTCACTGAGTCGTGGCTAGAATGCTCTTGTGCTACTGTATCCCGTTCGTGATCAACTATACTGTACTCAATCTTTCTATAGTGTTGATCTGATTTTTATGATAGTTAATCGCTCGCTCAGTACCCAAAAAGATAGAGTGGAATTCACGCTCGATTCTATGGGTATTCCTATCTTTCCACCCATTTCAGAGAACACAACTACTCCTGATGAGCTTCGGCGAACTCTGATCGATTTCGTTCAGGCTCAGTGGGGTAAGTATTCCCTCAATTTTTGTCGATTCTCCTCATTCTTGATCTACAGAACATACGCACATGCAGGATTTTCTTTCCATCAAAGCTGTACCAGACATCCTGTGGACAGACCATAACTTCACTTCCTATCTTGCACTGTCAATCACTACCATTCCAAATCCATCAACAGCCACCATCACATGTCTTTATGAGCTTTTGTCGATGATTAAGGCTCACCAGACCGATAACTCTGGCGTTACCCTCTTTTCTATCCAGAAAAGCCTCTCTACGCCTACACCCCAGTCCCCACTCCCAACACCACCATCCCCCCCTCCTCATACATCAACTTCTCGACCATCCTCGCAGACATCCGCCAACGCGACAATGCAGCTGTCCCAAACTGCCACGCCACCACAGCCACAGTTACCAACGAAGACACCGCCACTACTGCCATTGCTACCACCTGCTTTGTCACCACCACATTCCACGCAATGTTCAGCCAATGCGGGAGATATCCCTCAACTACCGCCACCAGCTTTATCACCACCTCGTTCCCCACACCGCTTGGCTGAGTCTCAACCACTGCCACCACCGTCTTCACTGCAATGTTCAGCTAATGCAGGGGATGACTCGCAACTACCACCACCAGCAAACTCACTGCCACACTCCCCATCAGCTCTGGCCAATGTGGAGTATGACCCCCAACCACCACCATCTCCGCTCACACCTGCTCCAAGCATTCGGAGCACATCACTGACTCCCCCACACGATCAAGACCTGTTGAAACAACATCGCATCAAGGTAGGCAGAAAGCGCAAGATCGGCAATAATCCCAAAGGCAATCCCGCATGCTCAAAAAAAGTGAAATTGTAAGTTTTCTCGGGATCGATGATGATGTCACGATGTTACTAACCTATATATATCTAGGACCAATGCCGATGATATCGTGCCTGTTGCACCATCACGGAGGAGTACGCGTTGCAAGGGCAAGCAAGCAGGATCAGCTTTACTGAGGTTCGTCTTGATCCTTTGTTTTGAACCACGTATTTCGCTCACTTCAATTTAGCTCCAGCGTTAAGGCCCCGAAACCTGCGTTGACCCAGACTGGAAAGCCAGCAAAAGGATGGGTGATGGCTAGTTCCGAATCAGATGGCTGAATATGAAAGTGAGTTAAACTCACTCAAATGCCGTTTGAGTGCTTAAATCATCTCTTTAAGCATGCTTAAACGCCGTTCGACGGTCTTTTGAAAAGAAGGAATGCTCATTGATATATCATTCAAACACTATAGGGTTACTAACAGTCTGCTTAAGGATCATTTAAACATCCTAGACAAATTATTTTCGCTTGAGTTTGAACCATGTTGCCCACTTAAACTTTGTTTAAACATCGTTACAGTAATTCTACTAGACATTGATTACATGTGTGGTTTATTTAAACATATTTACACTTAAACAGTGTCTGACGTGTGGGACATTGAAATGTTTAATCAAACTCCATGAATTTACTGGACTGGAAAAAGACCGTAACCAGACCGGACCAAGACTGCAAAAGACCGGACCTGCAGTTACGGTCTTTTATTTTTGAGATGTAAAGACCGCAAAAAAACCGGTTAACGTGAACTGGTCTTTTGTAATCCCTTAAATACCCTTTAAAACGCACCCAAGAACGTACGATTTGGTAAAAAAACGAGAGAGATATGAATTAAAATGTAAATTACTTTTAGGAATAATAGATGTACCAGACTTATTTTATAGAAGCACCAATTCGTAACGGAATTTGACGTTCTTGGGCTCGTTTTGAAGCTAAGAGAGATGTTAATAAATTTACCGATTCATAATTTTAACATATTAGCCTAAAGACCGGTCATAAACCAGTTAAAACCGATGCAGACCGGTTATGGTCCCTGGGCATCAAAAAACCGGACCGAACCGGACTTTCAAACACTAGTGGGATGTGGGCACTGCTCCTTCATAATCACAGCACCATCTTTTTCGAGGCAGCCATAGACTTGGTGAGATACTAAGAAACAGGCATGGGCACCTTTTACTTCTCACAAAGTGCAGCAATGCTGAATTTCCCCAAGTCTCCCACCTAAGCAGTCTAGTGCTATCCTCTGGGCATCGGCCATTAGTAGTGTTTGAAAGTCCGGTTCGGTCCGGTTTTTTGATGCCCAGGGGCGTTAACCGTAACCGTAACCGGTCTGCCTTTTCCCCAGAAGTCAAAAGACCAGACCGGACCGCAAAAAGACCGCAGACCGCGGTTTTTTGCGGTCTATAGACCAGTTTCGGTCTGCATCGGTTTTAACCGGTTTATGGCCGGTCTTTAGGCCAATATTTTAAATTTGTGAATCGGTAAATTTATTAACATCTCTATTAGCTTCAAAACGAGCCCAAGAACGAGGTCTTATCAGTGCCCCCCTAATTCCTGCAGGATTCCGGTCATTCCTGCGGATTCCGGTGGATTCCGGAGGAGTGAAATTTAGCAGGGAGGCCTGCTATTTTCATCATTCCGGTGCTTCACCATTCCGGCGGAATTTCGGCATTCCGGAATTGTGACCGGAATGGTCCCCGGATTGGCAAAAACGGAATGCAACCGGAATCCGGTTTGTTTGGCGCAAGCCCATTGCCAAACAATTGTTTGTTTGGCAACGGCTTTCACGCTCATCCAAACACAACCCTCTCTCCTCCCACCACCACCGTCGTCGCTCCACGTAACCGCCTCCCTCACGTTGTGAGTGCCCGCCATGGGCTAAGCGACGTGAGGGGGCTCACATCGACCACCACGCCGCTCACCCGACATCCAACAACGTTGCCAACACCACAACGCTGTGCCACGTCACCACGGCACACAAACCAGGTAAGCACCCACAACCCCCTCTCCCCTCGTTTCTCAACACGAAAACCAGGTGCCACGTCGCTGACTGCGACGTGGCACCAAAACGACGGCAACAGGTCTGACACCCCACGACGGCACCACCCCAGCACTCCCGAAACAACGTTCAGCGCCCACACGAAACACAACAGCACCACCTCGCCCATGAAAACACCCCACCCAGCACCCACGATGGCACAACGGCACACCGCGTCCACGAAAACTCCCCACCGCCCACGAAAACACCCCAGCGTATAAGAAAACAACACGCCGCCCACGAAACAAAGCCCAGCACCCATGTACATCTCCAACGGACGCGAAACAACAGAGGTCTTATCAGTGCCCCCCTAATTCCTGCAGGAATCCGGTCATTCCTGCGGATTCCGGTGGATTCCAGAGGAATGAAATTTGGCAGGGAGGCCTGCCATTTTCATCATTCCGGTGCCTTACCATTCCGGCGGAATTTGGGCATTCCGGAATTGACACCAGAATGATCCGCGGAATGCACAGGAACGGAATGTAATGGAATCCAGTCCTTTGTTTGTTTATTTTAGTTCTGTTACCAAACAAAGGCAACGTTACCAAACAATTGCAACACCCTTTCCTTTCACCCACCACCAACCATCCTCGTCCCCCCACTTCCATTCCCTCCCACCACCCACGTTGGCAACGACGACAACGACGACCACACCACACAACCCAACAACGGCCACGACCACACCAGCAACGAACGGAAGCGACCAGCGAGGCGGCACCACGACAATCCACGAGCGCCCACGACAACGACGTGGCCGATCCACGGGCACCGCCATCAACCAGGGCCCACCACGCCAGCCAGCCACGAATGACACACCACACGCCCACCAGCATCATCAACGTGACACCAATGCAACGTGGCGGCGAAACGACGTGGG